AAAATATAAATATGTGTGTTTAATTTGTTTACTGAATTGACAGCTTTTGATATTACATATATGTGAATACCCATTTCAATTCCCATTACCATGTATTTCTTTATAACGAGTACATTCTATTACTTTAGATTCAGTTACTAATGGGTATCTTCATTGCCCTAAATTTAGCGTCCTCTGTGTTGGTTGTATGTGGATTGGGAAAGTTAAGGTATGATACAGACAACAGTGATAACGGGGAGAACGAACCCCTACTACAAGGGTCAACAGATGGGAACGAAGAGTATCAAACAAAAGAACACCATGAATCATTTGAAAATATTTCTGGTCACTTTAAAGTAAAATCTGATGACAATAATGATGATCAAGTTCAGTTTATTAGGAATACGGATAATATCATCTCTAGTTACTCGCATGATAGACAGAAGAACGAAAACTGCAGAAATAAATATAAAGATATAAAAGATAAAGATACTCCAAGTAACATAACCAAAACGGCTTATGCAAAGAAAAGTTGGTCCAAACGATTGAGACCCGACACCTTAATAGGAACATTTCGGGTCATGGTGGATTTGAAAATGACATTGCTGATCCCCCTCTCCGTAGTGAACGGTTGTATTATATCTTACTCATCCGCTGAATTCCCCCAGGTAATATCCATTGTTATAGTTTTGAATAGTTTAAGTTAAATAAAATTAGATGACGCTACGTACAGGGACTTTCCAAATGCAATGATATGTTATGCATTTAACACTCTATGTACAGAAAAAATCACAAAGATTCACTAATTATTAAGAAAGTTATTTCAAAATTAGCATTTTTTGTCATTCTGTATAATGAAGCCCAGAATACATTACTTCTTAAAAAGAGTAGGTTCCCAAAATCTTCCTGTAGTATTATTCCAATTATTGCAATATGTACGAGGGGTGATCAATAAGTAATGGACGCTTTTTTGCACAGATACTTTTTATGGACCAATACCTTCGATGTTCTTACCAGTGATACATCGTTCAATTATCTATTAACTCTGAAGATTTGAAAACAAGACATGTTATATATTTTGCTATATCTTTATTTCCGTGAAGGAGGCATAGGTACCCCGGGACCGACATTTACGTGAAACATTCTGAAGGTATTTTAGCTTGTTTAACATGCAACGCAGTTGAATGCAGGTTGACAAAACAAACCATTATGGTCATGAATACCCCATTATGTTATGCCACAGTTGATTTTGAATATTTTATCATCACTTTGTGGTATATTCATGCCACATTCATTCTACAGGGCCCTCTACATAGGTTCCATCAAGTGCTACATGTACACAATTCCTCATCCTCTAACTCAAGATTGTGAGACAAGGCTGATTCCATTTTCTGACATGGTAGCAAGATGCAGTTGTACGGGTTGTTTTATTTCATCAATGTCAATAAACCTACGTCCTGTCTTTATAGAAATACTATAAGAATAAATAAGTCACATGTGAGCAGATCTGGACAATATGGTGCATTGGCCAAGGGCTCAATTTTGAGATCCAGGGATATCGTTTTCTGAGCATTTTGAGATCTGTGGGCAGGTACGTTGTCCATATGGAGTAGGGTGTCCCTTTCTCCCACCAACTCATTCTTCCACAATGCTTCCTCAAATTCCTGCAAACCCCAACCATACAACACTCTGACATCACAATACTTACTGTTTGTGTGTTACCAGTCAGCAAAATATTTCAAACAACACAACACTTGTTGCATGTTAAAAAAGTTCAAATCTAACTGAAATTTGCCAAACTGGCTAAAAACTGAAAATGTGACTAAAATGTCGGTCCCAGGGTACCTGTACCCCCTTCACGGAAATAAGGATATATCAACATGTATTATATATTTTGTCTTCAAATCTTAAGAATTGATAGATAATTGAATGATGTATCACTGGTAGGAAAATCAAAGAGATTGGTCCATAAAAAGTATCTGTGTAAAAAAGCGTCCATTACTTATTGATCACCCCTCGTATGTTATTCATATCAATGACGTATTTTAATGCTTAGCTGTATAAAGTAAGACATTAGAGCAGATTAGCATTAATCTATTAATTCTGATTATCCAAGGCATTCGTTGGCTGTAGTCAAGGCATATGGATGATTGGCTTCTTTGCCATGGTAACAGGCTGTGCAGCCGTTGCTTTATCTGTGATTATAAGCAAATTCAAAGCTATCGGTAGAGTTGGTGGTGTCATAATAGGTAATTGATCGGAAATTTAAACATCTTTTTAAGGTAACTCTAAACATAGAATATTGGTTAAGATTATTTTAAATCAATACAAAATATAAAATGGTTGTTATATTGGCAATAGTACCGTTTTTCTAATTTTAGGCATTTTATGTTTTGGAGCTTGTCTGATCCTATCTATGCTTTGGCAGTCACTAGGGCGGGAGAGATATTTGTTATATATAATTGCTGTATTAAATGGTGCTTGCAATTCACTATTGCAAATTTGCCTTAGTAGTAAGTATCTTTAAACTATTTGAAAATGCTTCTTATTCTATTAGTATAATATGGCATGCAATTGTACTTATTAATAAATGCAGTCTGATCCATCAAGGTAACATTTCCCTAAGAAGTATACCTTATTTTGAGCCATATACACGTACTTGAGTACTTTAATTAACATTAGTGTATATGATTTTTTTGTTTTTAATAAACTCAGGTACAGTGGGCCTTTTATTCATGGAGAACAATGAAGTTGCATTTGGTAGCTTGAAAGTATGGCAAAGTGTAGGAGTAACTGCAATGTTTATCGTCAGCCCATCCATATGCATGGCCATCAAGTTATACATTATGTTAGGTGTACTTGCTATAGGAACTATTTGTTTTGTACTCCTTAAAGTTATATACAGAAGAGAACTACGCTCCTTTGAAATGCATTAATTTCAACAAGTTGTGCACTAGATAGGGTGTGGAGGTTTACTATAATATAAACTGTTATGCTCTTTTAAACAGCTTATTATGTAAGTGTCCCATTTCCTTGCCCCACTCTGGTAGTATAAAGTTTGGATGGATAAGATGGATAAGACCTGTTTGCTTGAAAATTGAAATGTGCATAGCGATGTCATCCTCCTAAGCAGGTGTCCAGAATCCGGACCTCCTTCTCACAGAAAGAAGGTATTCTCGATTTCGGAGCCCTGCGTACGGAGGATGAGCTATGTACGCTTCTAAATATGTCTATGTCAAACAACTTTAGTACAAGATTTTGTTCAATTTTTGTACCTCAAGTGAAAACAGAATAGATAAGAGAAACCTAAAGGCGTGCATTCTTTATGTCCTATATTGTACTTACAACTGTCCAGATATGACAATGAAACAAGGGCAAACAAGATAACTAAATGACACAAGCACTATATGCATGTATCAGACTTAAGCCACGTGCAATTATTTAAAACAGGTAGACTCCAGAAAGAATTTGAATAGTTTCATTTGGTGCTTCAATTACTATAGACATGGAGAAGAAAACATTGTACAAGAATGTGCTGGTGCTGAGCATATCATTTATGATGAACTTCACAGCATATACAACAGTGCAAACATTACAAAGCTCAATCAACATTGATGCAGGCCTTGGTACAACCGGTCTATCTGTTTTATACGGCACATTGATATTCTCAAATTTATTTCTGCCTAAATTCTGCATTGAGAAATTCGGTTGTAATAATACTATCGTCTTTGGTTATATCGGTTATGCTGCATTTGCTGCTGCTAACCTGTATGCTACCTGGTGGACTATTATTCTCGGAGCTTTCATATGTGGCTTATTTGGTGGTCCCATATGGGGGGCCCAACCAACGTATCTTACACAAATTGCTCGTGCATATAGTTTGGATAGTGGAGAACCGTGTGATGGTTTGGTGAAGCGACTTTTTGGTATTTTCTATGGCATATTTGGACTGTGTAAGTAACGTGTTTATTAAAGGGCATGTGTCAAATTTGACAGCTGAGTTTTGAGTCTTAAATTATTTAAATCATCGAGTCATTTATTTTATTTTATTTTTGAAAAGCATATCATTATAATTGTTTAACATGCTTTCCAATAAACCTATTTTCTTTTCCTATTAATGCCATAAATATCAAAAACGCTGACATGATAAGTACCATTATAACTTTATTTGCAGTTTTAGAAAAATGATGATCTATAGGTGTCAATACAGGCTTTGTATAAAATATCTCCTACCTCATACCCACCTACGTGGAACATGATACAGTTATTGAAGGGTTCAATTTTAAAGATTATTTAATCTACATTTCTGTAGATTATTAAATCTACAATTCTGGCTTTATTTTATGACTAGACAGATCCATAAATAAAGGTATATGCTGGATGCATTTTAATGTGTAATGACCCGAGGGCGGCCCAGGGTAATAAATAACTAACGACCCCGAGCATAGGTCCAACAAGCCAGATAAAGAAATTGAAAGAATCGAACCCAGCTGGGATGTAGTAGCAACTTGCTATCAAGGGTCGTTACAAATGCATCTATAATTCATCATAAACTAAAATTTAATAAACTAAGATCTTAAAATTGAACCCTTCAAAGACTGTATCATGTCCCACATACGTGGGTGGGTGGGTATGAGGTAGGAGTTTTTTTTATACAAAGCTGTCAATACACCGGAAAATGTTAGAAAAAAGAAAGTATATGATTTTGCTTTGTCTTCGCAGTACATTTGTGTACCTTAATTGTGTTGGAAGTCCTAGAATATATGTTTCAGACGGAAATGAAAAAAAAACACGTTAGCACAGTGTAGTTGAGAAACTTACTAAGTTTCCTAAAAGATTTCCGAAGAATTTAAAATAATTTTCTCAATAAGATATTAGTACATACCGTCTGCACATAATGCCTAACGTGTAATTAGATAGATAGATAATTTGTTATTTTACAGGCTCCATTGGTGGGAACGTTGTTGGGTCGCTTATTCTGTACACTGACTTAAACTCAACAGCTATACCCGAATCCGAATTGGACAAATGTGGCTCTGAATTCTGTCCTGCGTCATATAATACAACAAATAGCAATCTTTCAAGACCCCCACAAGAAACGGTATTTTATGCTTTCATATCCAATGAATTCTTCATTTTTTTCCATTGTAATGCTATCAAATTTACATATTATGGTCATTGCTTTAGATTCAGTTGCTCATGGGGATCCTCATTGCCCTTCACATATTGTCCGCTGTAATGGTCATATGTGGATTGGACAAGCTAAAGTATGATACAGACAAGAGTAATAAGTCTTCGAAACACCAGACAAATGGTGAAAATGAGCCTCTTCTACGAGATTCAACAGATAAAGACAAACATAATCAAACAAAAGAATACCAAAGGTCTTTTGAACATATTTCTGGTCACTTTAAAGTGAAATCGCAAAATAATAATGATGAAGTTCAGTTAGCTTGGAATTCGGATGGTATCTCTAGTTATCCGCATCATGGATTAAAAGAAGAAAGGGGTCCTGGATCAAAGGGAGAAAATGGTATAAGATGTAAAGATGAAGCGACTGGTACAAACGAAACGGATGCAAGTAAAAGAAGTTGGTCCAAGCGATTAAGACCAGACACTTTGATAGGAACACTCCAGATCATGCTGGATTTGAAAATGTTTTTGTTGATCCCTTTGTCTGTTCTACATGGTTGTGATGTATCTTACTTATCTGCTGAATTTCCTCAAGTAAGATATAATACCTTTTATTCATCTAGTATGCATTCTGATCCAGTGATCTGTTAAGAATTTCGAAGCATGCCATGATTTGATGCTTATAGTTCGCTAGTTAAATGTTTTATTTTGAAATCCACATTACAGTCGCACAAAGGTCTAAACCTGCGGAAAGTGCATGGGAAAGGTGCTAAGTCTAAAATGTATACTATTCCTTTTCTTTTATTAGGCATTTGTGGGCTGTAGTCAAGGTATATGGATGATCGGCTATATGACTATGGTAACAGGATGCACAATGGTAGTTTTTTCTTTGGCAATAAGCAAGTTTAAGTTCATTGGCAGAACTGGTGATATTTTATTAGGTATTGTCATCTTGCCACATTAAACATACGGAACCATTGCAACCTCATCAAACCAACTTGAAACAGCTCTCTACAGTATCCATTTGATTTGTATTTTATGTGTTCATCAGAGATTCCTTTTTTTCCATTTTTAGGTATTTCATGCTTTGGAGCAGGTCTTGTAATATCTTTGCTGTGGCAGTCGCTTGAAAGGGCAGCATATTTGTTATACTTAATTGCAATATTTAATGGTGCATGTAATGCTTGCTTGCAAATTGGCCTAAACAGTGAGTATTTGAAATACAATTGCAAATTATTATGACCAGATCTTGAGTGAAAGGAACAAACCATACAAAGATTGTTACCCTCTGTAAAGAAAAAAGGTGCATTGTCCTTTACCAATCATATCTTTTTTATTTTTCGTTATTATCATACCAAACTTTCAGAGGTATAATGTATGAATACTTTGACCAAATAGAGAAAATGTCAAAGAATTTCGTAAACACGTTAAAAAGCTAGAAATGATCGAACATAACAGCTCCCAAAAACATGAGTAACTTTTTACCATAAATTGACGTCATAAATTTGAGAAATCCTATACCTGGCAATGTGCTCAAGAAGGGGATCTTCTGAGACACGAAGCTAAATTGTTAGTTACATGTAGAGGAGCACATCATTTTAAAAAGTCTTCAATCCAATAAAACTTTGTGAAAAATATCAGTTATAGAATGAAAGTCCGATTAATTACAACCATTTTGTGATAGAATTTGATGTTATATTCATCAGATTAAAAGGTCTCTTCTCAGTTCAAAATTATGTCGTAATTTAAAGGAAAAGGTCACATTAGTGAGTTTGTGAGACAATGTTTCTAATCATTGCTAACTTTTTTTTAATTTTCATCTAATTTTTTAAAATTTCTACCAGTTATTTATAATATGTATGCCATGTGCCTCGAAGAGTTTAGTAATATTATACAGAATTTTGAAAATGTTATGACTGATAAAGGACCATGTACTTTTTTCTTTACAGAGGGTATACTTTTTAAATATTGATAATTTTGACCAGGCAAAGTTAATATGTTCATATCACAAGCACTGAAAAGAACAATTGGGCGAAGAATAAGCCAACAACCCAAAACGATTATCTTCTGCATACAGAAAAGTTGCCCAATATCCTAGATGCGAGTAGAAATAATCTTGATTTACGTCATTAAAAATTCACAATTCAGTCAAACTGGTGTCATATTTGGAATCTACATATAAAATTACATCTAAAAATGTGGTTTTGAAAAGAGTTTATCAACTTTGAAAATTTAATTTTCTTTGAAAATGTGACTTCTAGGTCGGGGAGATTCCCCATAGACCCCATGTTGTAAAACTACAAAAAGTGAAATATCTTCTTGTGTTGGGCAGATAATATTTTCTTTTACTGGACATATTTTAATTTGTATAACTATCACATACATAAGGGTAATTTGAAAAGTGAACCGTTAAAACTGAGGCATATTCAAGTTTAAGGGAATTTTGTATTACCCTGTCATGTTATTTCCCCCGAATCAGCCACCTGGTGGCGAAACTGGTAACTACCTACTCGCATCTGAGTAATTCCCTTCTCAAATGTTTCAGGCACGGTTGGTCTTTTATTCATGGATAAAAACGAAGTGGCATTTGGCAGCTTGAAAGTATGGCAAAGTATGGCTATAACTGTAACATTTATATACAGCCCATTCCTTTGTATGGACATCAAAGTGTACATTATGTTTGGGGTACTTGCTGTAGGGGCAGTTTGTGCTATAGTTCTAGAAGTGATATGCAGACGAGAACAACACTCTTTATACAAAGCGTTTTGATCAAGCAAGCTGTGTGTTATCACCGTAGAAATAGGGTAGTTAAGCAAGCACTGTTTTGAAGAACGTTTACGTGAAAAATCATGGTCCCCTTTGGTAACTAGTCAATGGTTCCCAAGACAACTCGTCCAAAGTCAAGTTGGAACTTAGAACCGTTCCCATATGGACTATTTCACTTCAAAGTTCACCTTAAATTGTCCGATTGAGTATGATAAGTGGGAGAACAGAAGTTGCTTTAAGCTCCTCGTTTTAACCAATTCAGAATAAGATATTTTCATACAAGTACACGTTTACGTTCAAGTTCTCCCAAAAGCTTGTAACTTAACCTCTCTATTTATTTTGAAACTACGTTTGATATTCAAGAGATATTCAGGTTGTGTCAGTTCAACAAGATGAGCATAATGTTAGGTATGAAGTTGCTCTAAAGGACTATGTATTTATGTAAAATATAATAAAATACTAGTACATGAGGTACGTGACGTAAGATAATATTGTACATGAGGACTAAATCAGTTTGATATGATATTTATTTACAAAATCTGGCTGTAGTTGCTATTCGGACTGATTCTATCGAGGAATCTATCGAGGAAGATACTATTATTTTTATAAAAAATTGATGAAATAAAATGTAAACACTGTGTTATGGTAATGTTGTTCTTAAAATAATCTATGTTTATTTATAATTTTCCTAATATAGAAAAGGGGATAATAGAATTCTACCATTCTGCCTTCTTTATACCAGTGTGAAAGAAATGATGGTCCCCAAGGGATTATGGTCCCCCTTTTAAAGGCCCTTACTGGCCCTGATTGTGTATAAGATAATAAGGGAAATAGGTCACCATATAAATCAATGGAGAGTAGGACCATAAATTAATAGGACCTCCTACCGTTTTACACTGGCCCAAAGCATATGAAAGAAACTCCTCAATAACAAAATCATAGAGACACGTTAGCCATAACTGACCCCAATACCCTATTATCACGCTCCTTGCAAGACAACAATTCCACATTTTATAATTGAAGGTATAATGGGAAAGACTAAGTAGGCAGTGGCAGAGCCACCCATATTTTTAATCTGATTCCCTATAATTACCAAGTAGTTCTTTTTTAAAGTAATGTGAATTTTAAAATATTGATTATATTTCTTTCAATGAAGTATTTTGAATTCAGCCAAGTATTTTCATCTCATCCAAGGTTTTTCAGGAGTAAGTCTTTAAATATATTCGATTTCGAAACTAGAAAATGAAGTTTCTTAAGGATCTAGAAAGAAGTTAGTTGATCATAAGTTTTTGAAATACGTATTTTGATAATGACAATTAACTTATTTATAGCATTCTTTTTGAAGTTTGAATAGGATCTAACCGATCCATCAATCGTAGTATAACATAGATATTGCTTATGAAATAATCAAACTTGTAAATTACCACCCTTTTGAAGAAACATACATATACTGCTTCAGATAAGAACAACAAATTTAATACGGAGTTCTGTCTACATATGAACTGTTTGCTACAAATGAAGTGTAAAATTATAATTTAACCTCCACATCCCCTCCTCTACCCTGCTTTTAGCCCCATATTATATGATGTTGCATAATATTGTTTTGTATTTGACTGTACACCTGCATTATGTGGTATATAGTAATTCATTACACTGTTACATCTCAAACTAGAATGATGGACAGTAATTGGTCATATCACGTCACATGACCATTTGATAATTCGGAAGGAGGTACGAGATATGGAGGCCTATTGTGTTAGGAGGATGGTGCTATGTATACATTCAATTTTATTATTTATGAAATATTAATGCAAATGAATAGAGCAACATTGTTTCACGCTGTTCCTCCAATATAATGGTAAATTGATACTTTCGAATATTATAGTGATGTGATATATTATTTATAATGTTTAGATTATATGCATTTTTGTGAAGGCGTTAACCGAAATTTCTGCAAAATTCAGTTTTTGCTCTTCAATAACACTAGCAGCGATTCATAACATACATTATCTACTTTTAGTGACAAAAGAATAGACCTAAAGACATGCTATCTGTATGGCCTTTTCGGCACTTACGTCAAGATATATAACAGTGAGAAAAGTACGAACAAGATAACGAAAACTAGACCTCCTTGAATTGCAAGTGTCACATGTATTGTAATGAAGTAGACTCCAGAAAGAATTTTGTAGTTTCATTTGGTGCTCCTATGGTTGTAGACATGGAGAAGAAAACATTGTACAAGAATGTTTTAGTGCTGAGTATATCATTTATGATGAACTTCTCAGCATATAACACGATGCAAACATTACAAAGTTCAATTAATATTGATGCAGGCCTTGGTACAACAGGTCTATCTGTTTTATACGGTACATTGATATTCTCAACTTTATTTCTTCCCAAATTCTGCATTGGGAAATTCGGTTGTAATAATACTATTATCTTTGGCTATATCGGTTATGCTGTATTCGCTGCCGCTAATCTGTATGCTACCTGGTGGACTATTATTCTCGGAGCTTTCATATGTGGCTTATTTGGTGGTCCCCTATGGGGGGCCCAACCAACGTATCTTACACAAATCGCTCATGCATATAGCTTGGATAGTGGGGAGCCTTGTGAGGGGTTGGTGAAAAGACTATTTGGCATTTTCTATGGCATATTTGGACTATGTAAGTAAAGTTTAATGAATCGTAACAGTTCTAACGTATTTGAGTCGTTCGTCTATGAATTTCAGTTTAAGTTTATTTTTGAAAAATATATCATACTGTTTAACAGGCATTAATAAAATGAGCTATGGCTTGATAATAAACTTATTTTTATTTTCCCATTAATGCTATGAATAACAAAAACTTGATCAGTAGCATTATAAAATTGGTAATCTGGAGAGATAAATGGTCTACAGTTGTTAGGTTTATGTTTATGACTTATTGAGATTCCTTAAAGATTTCTGAACATTTTTTAGTATTTTTCTTTATAAAGTATTATACTAGTATTTCCTCTAAGCAGCACAATACATTATGTCTTATTAAATAGGATGGTGATGCACATATGTATATTATAGGCACTATATTAGGAAACATTGTTGGGTCTCTTATTCTGTACACTGACTTTAACTCAACATCTATACCTGAATATGAACTCGACAAATGTGGATCTGAATTCTGCCCTGCGACCTATAATACAACAGACAGCAATCTTTCAAGACCCCCACAAGAAACGGTATTTAAGCTTGCGTGTTGGACCAAACTAAATATATGTCAATTGCTTTATAATTATGAAGTTTATATCTATAAATTCTTCATTTTTCCATTGTACTCCTCTATAACTTTTATATTATGGTCATTGCTTTAGATTCAGTTGCTCGTGGGGATCCTCATTGCTATCCATATATTGTCTGTTGTAATGGTCATATGTGGATTAGACAAGCTAAAGTATGATACAGACAAGAGTAATAAGTCTACGAAACACCAGACAAATGGTGAAAACGAGCATCTTCTACGAGATTCAACAGATAAAGACAAACATAATCAAACAAAAGAATACCATAAGTCTTTTGAACATATTTCTGGTCACTTTAAAGTGAAATCACAAAATGATAATGATGAAGTCCAGTTAGTTTGGAATTCGAATGATGTTATCTCCAGATATCCAAATGATGAACTAAAAGAAGAAAATGGCACTATATCCGAGGTGAAAAATTGTATTAGTTGTAAAGATACCTCGACTGATACAAGTCAAACCGATAATACAAGTAAACGTTGGTCCAAGCGATTAAGACCAGACACTTTAATAGGAACACTTCAGATCATGCTGGATTTGAAAATGTTTTTATTGATCCCCCTCTCAGTCCTGCATGGTTATGATTCATCTTTCACATCTGCTGAATTCCCACAGGTAAAATATTATACAGTTATTTGATTTATGACACCACATATATGTTTTAATCAGTTTAATTCATTTGGTATGCGCTTGCATTTTTGCTCATTGACAAGTAGTTATTTATTTTCATCTTAGGTCCAGTAATCTGCATTCTCTTAGTAAATACAGCAATTTGTTAAAAATAGATACCTATAAGTTCTGATTTTGAGAAATTCACACTACAGTCTTGTTCAAGGTTGCAGAAGCAAGATAATATCATTGATTTCATCTTCTTAGGCATTTGTTGGCTGTAGCCAAGGTATATGGATGATTGGCTATATGAATATGGTAACAGGATGCGCAATGGTCGTCATTTCTGTGGTAATAAGCAAGTTCACGTTCTTTGGCAGAATTGGTGGTATTTTATTAGGTATTGTCAACTTGCCAGATTAAACAAACAGAACCATTACTGGTCTTATTAAACCCATTAGAACCTATCTGTTTGATTCGTATCATATGCTGTCTTTCCTCCTTTTAGGTATTGCATGCTTTGGAGCAGGTCTTGTAATATCTTTGCTGTGGCAGTCACTTGAAAGGGCACCATATTTGCTATACTTAATTGCAATATTTAATGGTGTATGTAATGCAACCTGTGAAATTGGCCTAAACAGTAAGTATTTGAAAATACAATGTCATATACAAATCAGTATGACCGGATTTTGATCGAAAGGAAAACGCCTATCAATCTGTATTACATACCCAGCGAAGCATTTGTATTGAAGTCAATGGAGCTGAAGGTCGGCTATATATTCCTGTATAGCCGCCAAACCTTTTACCATGACAATCTTATGACGTCATCAGGACGTCGTGTTTCATTTCTTCCCAAGGAGGATTGGCTCCCAGAGTGCACCACCGATATTCTGTCCCATATATGGGTATGTCGTAATACAAAATTCGAATTCAAACAGCCGCCATTTTGTTCACTTCAACATTTAAATCGTGAATTTTGGTCTTATTTCCAAACGAAAAATTCCAAAACTCACAAGAAATGATCGAGATATTGGTTCGAATCTTTTGAACTGTTTATTTTGAATTTATAGTCGGTTTTAATTTCAGAAAATAACGACATTTCGACGTTTTCATTGTTGGAAAATATCGAGTTTCGATCCTGGGAGCCAATCCTCCTTGATTTCTTCCTAATGTCACTCGCGCACAGACACGTGGCGTCATTGATATAACGTAGCCATGATATAAAAGTATGTAATACAACAGTTATGTCCGTATCATTGAATATATGCCTTCGGTCTGTCGTAATATAACCCTCGCAAGCTCGGGCTATATTGGTGACAGACCTTAGGCATATATTCAATGATAGGGACATAACTGCTAAGTATTAATATTCTTTTTACTTAATAAGTATGATTGAATATTTTAGACGAGGAAAATATGTTATGTTTATATCATGATCACTAGGAAAATGCAAATTAAAAGGCAAGCCATAGTGTTGAATAACACAATAACTTCTACATGTATGTAAGCATCAGTGTGACAATGAAAGGAAAGACAAAAGCTCTGAAAGCTGATACTAGAAATCCCAAAGAATCCCAATCCCAAACAACTCTCTTCTGCATGCATAAATGGTGTCCAATTCCCTTCTCCCTTGACCCTATAGGAAACACCATCACAACCCAAAGGTATAAAACCATGGGACCAAAAGACCCTTCTATCCTAATAATATAATGTTTCAGGCACAGTTGGTCTCCTATTTATGGATAAAAATGAAGTGGCGTTTAGCAGCTTGAAAGCGTGGCAAAATATAGCAATAGCTGTCACACTTATCTACAGCCCATTCCTTTGTATGGACATCAAAGTGTACATTATGTTTGGGGTACTTGCTATAGGGACAGTTTGTGCTTTAGTTCTAGAAGTGATTTGCAGACGAGAACAACGCTCTTAATATAAAAACAAGCTGTATGTTATCATACTGATAGCCAAGAGCTATTAACGTTTTGTCAGTTACTAAGGAACTTTTAACATAAAATATACAATAAAATATTTAGAAAAACGAACTCTCGAATGATATTAGTCAATTGAACAAGATGTTTGTGACGCTGCGTGATATCGTACGGAGGGGCTTAATCGGTTGAATATTATATTTATTTACCCCCCTATCACACAAAACTAGTTCTTACCCGTTCTTGCCAGTCCTACGAAAACGTCTTAAAACGGGCTCAATCTGGCTGGCTGTGGTCGGGAAATATGTCTAAAATAATTAGCTTCTTCGTTCATAAACAGTTTTCAATACGTCCATCTCATTCGCAGTTCGTTCAGGTCGCACCACGTCGGTGTGCAACGTCGTATAACGCGTCCCTTAGTCTAGAAGGTCATCATGACCTGATTACAGAACGGTATGGTCGCCATCGAATTTTGAATCGATTCAAAATTCTAAATCACATTTCCTGTCCGGGAAAGTCCATGAATTTCGTAAACAGACCGTAGAACGTTGTAGCTACGTTCATTCCGTTCGCACACAGTTTAAAACCAGTTTTGAAGAACGCATTTGCAACTTGCTTGGTGTGATAGCTATATCTTTGCTAACTCGTTGATAAATACGTTCTTAATCAGTTTAACCCGTTTGCAATTAGTTCTACCTCGTTCTCAATACGTCCCCCGACAGTTCAACTCGTTGTAAAAACGTCCCTAGTAGGAATGAAGTACGACGGTTCCGTTCGTAGTACGTCCAGCTCGTCGTTAGTAGGTTGTCACTCGTTCTAATTGTAGAACGTGACGACCAAGAGAACATTTTGAGCACGTTCTATGTTCTAGAGGACCTACCCGTTCGAATACGTTCGATGAAGTTTGTAAACAGACCAGTCCGTTTGTACACAGTTGAAGCCCGTTTTCGAGGACGTAGTGAGAACTAGTTTGGTGTGATAGTAGGGTTACAAAAGTTGGTTGTAGCTACTGGTACCTACTTACTGTGTTGATTGATTTTGTCGAAACTCTTCAATCACAAAATAATAAAGACACGTTAGACATGTTTAAACAAACGTATGAGACGCTAAAGTTGCTCCGATTTGATGGAAAAACTTTCTTAAGTCCATTTACACCCCCCTTAAATGATTGATGAGTGCCTGCCGGGTGCGAGGTCGGGCTCGGCCGAGTGAGCACCTCTTGCTGTATACGCCCCATCCACTGTGATATACACAGTGGAACACCCGTGACAGAACACCTTCCCCAGCATTGGTGCCTGGTAGTTAAATTAATACTAATGCAGGCATCATCAGTTGGTCAAAATAATAACTTATAAGAGGATTGCAGGTTTGATACTGTACATTCCCTCATTGTAAAACTCCCAATTACCGGCCAAGTGCAAGTACCGACAACCAAGGATAGGTATAAAAGGGTCAAAAGTTTAAAAAGAAAATTATTGATGGAGCCAACTGGCATTTCGCCTTAGCCACAGCCATCTTGAACATCTCTCTGCTTCTCTTCCAATTGATGTGATGGCTCTCTTCCTCTTTACTGCTGTTATTCCCAAAGACTTAAGCATCCAGCTTACTGATTTTGCTGAGAAACCTCTACAGCCAACTTCTACTGGAAAGCAAAATGCTTTCCACCCTCCCTGTCGAGCTTCTGACAAAAGGTCCTCATATTTTGTCCGCTTTAGCTCGTTGGATTCTTCAATTCGTTCTTCCCATGGGACTGTTAGTTCAACAAGTATTACACATTTGGCTGCTTCAGAAGTGATGACAATATCAGGCCTTAGGTTTGTGATGGCTACTTGTTGAGGAAAGACGAGCTGTTTGGCTAGATCTACTTTCATTACCCAGTCTGCAGATGAGTGAAGAATACCTCTTTCAGGTATGGGATGGTGTTTAGTTATGGTTTCCTCTCCCGCTCTTTGAAATTTGATATATGCAGGTCTTACTGCATTTGTTGTGGCCTCCTTAGCTCCCTGCGACCGTAAAATGGGTTCAATGGTCCTTGCTATTTCTTTTAGGACTTGGTCATGACGCCATGTATACCTGTGCTCGCTTAGAGCTACTCTACAGGAACTGAGCACATGCCTGAGTGAGGCTGGTTTTTCCTTGCACAATGGGCATGTTGGGTCATCAAGCATGTTCCACAATGCCAGATTAGTGGCTGATGGTAGAGTGTTGGAGATTGCCCGCAAAAAGAAGGACATGGAAACATCACCTGATTGTAATAGCTGATTCAATTCCTCTGAGATCTCCTTGACAAGGAGCCAAGAAATTTCTCTGAACAAGGTGCGCTGTGATCTGATCTTCCAGTCCCATTTTTACGCCCACAATTTTACTAATGTACCATCCCCTACATGCAAATGTGGGTATAGCAATGAAACATCCATTCATGTCATGTTCTCTTGTAGCCTTAGATCACAATATCTTAAAGATTTAGAGGATGCACTTACTCTTCTAAATTTTAATTACCCAGCATTTAAAAACCAGCAAGACAAATTATCATTGTTTTTGTATGGAGACAGAAGTCTGCCAAAAGAAGTTAATATTGAAATTTTAAGGCTCACCTCAGCTTTTATTCAAAGGTGTGCAAGCGTGTAAGTATTTCTTCCACCACCAACTGTATAATTTTGTACACAATAATTCTTTTGTTTATTGCAAATTCATTGTCATACTTTCTTTTTAAATCTTGTTATTATTTAATTGTGGCTTATAATGCTTCATTGCAAAGCCGCAACATGTGTATGTAATAATTCTATTTTACTATGAAATAAATCAAATATAAAAAAAAAAAAAAGATTTCCTGTCATCCCTCTACTCTCTACTGTCTCCCAGTTAAGCCACGTCCCTTGGCTCTTCATGCCCACTGCTCTGACTCTTCGTTTCTCCTCTTCAGCTTTCCTG